GAGAGAGAGAGAGAGAGATTTAGAAGTGGCTTCCAATCTTCCTCTTGGCAGTTATATATACAGTTCTAATCAAACCTCTCTCTCTAAGATTACATCATAATTCCCTTCTTTCTATAACTTATTCTTTCTAATCCTCAAAATCATAAGTCACAAAATCAGTTCCTTTTTTACGCAAAAAGTCCATAAGGGGATCTTCCTGGAAAATTACCAAGGAACCATGCAACTGTCATCTGATCATTGGATCTTATGCATGTTGATTCAAATATGAAGCTGGATTGAATTCAATGAGGGTTAACGTTACCTCAATCTTGATAAATAGGATTTTTCTTTTAAAAACCCATATGTTATATTAATTAAATCTCTGTGTGTTCTTTATGAAAAGTCTACTTCCCTCTTTTATTCAACAAGGAATGAGATGGTAGAGGAGAAAAATATCAATTGTATAGAGTTGTGTAAAATGACATCTTTAACATGAAATCAAAATCTCCATCATAAAATGGCATTTACCATATTAAACAACATATTTTGCTTGTATATTTCTAACATATTGAGGATATATTGCTTAGTTTGCCAGGTAATTAGGAACTTGCTTTAATATCTAAACTGAAGGGTTGTATTATTTTCTTCTCTTTCTCATAATTGAGTTTTCATGGCTATACCCCATATTTAGATCAAGAGATATCACAATCTACACAAATTCAAAGACTACACAAATTCAAAAATCAACTTTCAAAGTTAGTTATATACTTATCTGTCCTGTACAAGAATATACATGTGTACAAAACATTCTGTAAATCAATTTCTATCATAGCCAAACAATGAAATTCAATATGTGGTATATATTAATACTCTGATGTTTATTATCTTTGCTAGAGTTCTATAAATGTTTTCAAGTACTGGCACAATGCAGTGTTTTGTAATACTTTATTATACTAATTTTCACTGGGTTGATTCCAGCTGTCCCAAGTAGTTCTATGTTGATACAACAAGTCCTAGGGTGATGCTACAAATTCACTACCTAGTAAAAGAAACACTGTACTAATCTCTTTCTCTCTCTGGAGACTACATTTCTACATTCCACAATTAAAAGTGATATTCTGTTAATATTCAAGATTTAAAAGAAGAATTCCAGGAGGAGTAAAATGCTCATTTAAGATGCTACCATGACTTAACAGTTTGGAAAACGTGGTTTTCTTTTTTTAATTTTAAACATAAAATATATATGTAGGAACAATGCCATAATTTAATTGCTTATATGTTAGACCACATGATATCCCATATTTTCTCCAGAAGTTCAAGGCAGCATACATATTTATTGTAATGGATGTGGGAATGACCTTGGGAGACAGGAGTAAGAGCTGCAGACTAGACAATGGTCAGACAAGCAGCAGCTGAGTCCACAGAAGGAATGGGAGTGTGGCAAAGTTTTCAGAAGGGGCCCTCCCTAGTTTCTTGGACTGTAAAGGCAAGGAATGTAGTTTCAGATTTTCAAGGTTCTGTTGATGTAACCTTACATTAAAACTAGAACTAGTATTTCTGTTGTGCTTCTTGTCTAGACTACCTCACAAGGCTGACATTTATTTATCATATTTATACCTGCCACAATCAATGGGACTCTTGGCAGTCATTAAGAATAAACAAGTCAAACAGAAAAGTTAAAACATACACGTTATAATAAAAACCATGTACTCTAGAACATAAATGAATTAAGTGGTACAGGACATTCTATCATTTACCACAAGCCCTTTGGAATAACTCAGTTTTCAAAAGTTTCTGAAAGGTTAAAGCCAAGGGAGCTCACCTGATCTCTGCTAGGAAGCTATTTCATATTATAGGCACTGCCACTAAAAAAACAGGACCTGCAAGCCTTCAAAGTTTCACAGAAATAGAGAAGCACCAGAAGTATCTAGCA